GTAACTTGAGGTTTGGTAAAACCTTTTCTGTTTCCTTAGTAGAAGCATCTTGCTCCCTTTTTATCCTCAAGGGCAACAAGGCATCTAGTTCAGCAGAACCTACAGTTGTGAGAACAGGAAGCATAAGGGTGGGCCATTGAGGAGGGAGTTGATGGGAGATAGTCCTACTTCCACCCCTTGGTGTCCGAGTCTATGTATTTTATACAACAGGGACACAGCGTTATCTTGAAAAATAACCTTTCAATTTCTGAGAGTGCCCTTCCTCACCTAGTGCTGTAGCTGAGCCCTCACGTGGTCACTCTAAGTTCTGTCCAGGTAGTTGTCTGTGGCTAATGCTATGTATTTTAGGGTTAGTGTACCCAAGAGATGTGTGCACAGTCACACCCCCTTGGCTATGAAGTGGGTCTGTGGATGCAAAAGGATGCGAGATCTTTTGAATATTGAAATAGTCAATGAGGCATTCTGAGCCCTCATTTGTGTGGCTACATGTGGCCCTGTGCCAGGGAAGAAAAACTCAGACCCAGAACTTGTATTAATAATAAAAAAGTTCTGAAACCTGCAGGGTGGAAGTCGTCCAGTGTTATCATCTTCTTCCCAAGAAGTCGGTGTTTGGTCTCCTTGTGGGATGATTCTGCATTGAAGGTTCATGGACTTCTGTGGACAGGATGTGTATTTGGCAGCAGAAGTAGCTAAATTTGTTTTGGCGAGAGAAAGCTGATGCTTCTGGGGTTCTGGAGAACCTCAATTCTGTCCTGTTGGCTAATCTATTCAAAGGTGTATTGTTTAAGTCATAAAATGGGTAGGAACAAACTTCCTCTGGCTGCCTAAAATCATCTGGATCCACACGGTTGTTTAGTGCTTCCTTGGACGTGGTGCTCTCTTGTGGGTGTTGACAGGAAACATGATGATCAGCTAGGCTTCCACCTGCACTAATTGCTCTGTCATTCATGGACACTCTGAATGTGACTTGCCCTCCTCCTGTCCCATCTGCTTAGGGTTCTACCTCTGATTTTGGTACTTTGTCTTTGGTCAATGTTTTAGGGTATCAAAATATGTATTTTAAACTCGATGGTCATGGCTTTCAAGATTTTGTATTTTCATACTGGGCATGGTGGCTCACA